ATTGATATGGTGGATTCCAATTTGTTTGGATAAGAAGTTGGGATTAAGGCTGTGTTCAGTTGGGTATGGTTACCTTCTGTGAATCACTAGTGGTGAATCTTTCATTTTTTTCTTTGCTGGCAAGTCTTATCTTCATATCAACGGTATGACACTTTAATTTGTATCCTTTTGAATGTTTTGCTGAATTTTGTGATCTTCTAAAAACAGGTTCCTCGCTTGGTCCGGATGCATTCAGATGAGATGGAGGTTAGTTTTTTGTTTCAAATTTTTGCTAATAAAATTATTTGATCTTTCAGTGTGTGAAAATAATTTTTACAATAAAACATCTCGAAGATGCTCTAGTGATGGGTTTTTGTCTGTGGTGGTAAATTTACTGATATCTTTTATTTTTTGTGGGATATTTCATCCACAGGATATTCAAGAAGCACATGCTGGGCAAATCGTTGCTGTATTTGGTGTAGACTGTGCATCAGGTTTGACTTCCTTTTATCATGCACAGAGAATCCTATGTCTCTTATGAAAAAGGGAATCTTTGGATGAAGGAAAGATGTATTGATTTATTAGATTTACACTATCTACCTAGTAGTCTGAGTAGGGAATAAGCAAAATCTTGTTGAGCTTTCTAAAAGATGGAGGGATATGTCAGAATGGATGTTAGACAGAGTCATTCAGAAAATATCTAAATTTTCAATCATGATGAAGTCATAGCTTTCTTAATTTTGTGCATGACATTGACAACTAGTTTGAAGCAATATAACCTAATGATTATAATGCTTTGTTCCTGTTTTCTACGCATTTTATTCCTTTCATAAATTTGTTCTAAAGCATGTTTTCTTGTATCTTCAGGAGATACATTTACTGACGGGTCAGTTAAATATACAATGACTTCTATGAATGTCCCTGAGCCAGTGATGTCCTTAGCTGTTCAACCAGTTTCAAAAGATTCTGGAGGACAAGTGAGCCGATTCCCTTTGATTTTGTGTGTGCATGTGCCGTGTGTGTGTGTCTCATTATTCAATGGCACTTACATTAATCTTCTTTTTTTGCTAGTTTTCGAAGGCTTTGAATCGTTTTCAGAAAGAGGATCCTACATTCCGTGTTGGCTTGGACCCTGAGAGTGGACAGGTCTGATGTTCAACATGATCTCTCTCTCTCTCTCTCTCTCTCAAATGTTCAAAGTATATTTCTTTTCCACTTCAAGAAATAATTCTTGCCTTACATTATTGTTCCTTGAGTAGACAATCATCTCTGGAATGGGAGAGCTGCATTTGGACATTTATGTTGAACGCATTCGGAGAGAATATAAGGTGCCTGGCCTGTTCTCTTTTTGCAATATATAATATCAGAAATTTTTTTGTTAGGTAGGTTAAGTTTTACCTTGTACTGCTGCTGTATTCCAATTCCCATATTTGTGCTAAACAGGTTGATGCTACTGTTGGAAAACCTCGTGTAAACTTCAGAGAGACTGTTACTCAACGGGCTGAATTTGATTATTTACATAAGAAGCAATCTGGAGGACAAGGTCAATATGGGCGGGTATGTGGGTAAGTCCAGATGATGCCTTTATATGCACGATGTTCAGACATGATTGTATTTGTGCGATACATGTGTACATAATCTTTTACATGTGCTCAAGTTACTTCCTTTGGAAACCTAATAATTGGCTTTCTTATTGCGACTTGGTGTTTTCTCCCCTGCTTGTAACTTGTTTCTTAATTGGTACATTGCAGATATGTTGAACCGCTGCCTGCCGGGTCACCAACCAAGTTTGAATTTGAAAACATGATTGTGGGACAAGCTATACCATCAAATTTTATCCCAGCTATTGAGAAGGGTTTCAAAGAAGCAGCCAATTCGTGAGTCCCCGTCTGGTCTTAAAAGTTGGCTATAGAAACAAGGATAATCCAATATCTAATCCATTCAGGATTTCACACTATAAAAGTTACTATATTGCTATAACGTCCTTGTCTAAATGTCTGTCCCTTTCTATTGTGTTTGCTCATAATGATATCCCTTGTACAGGGGTTCCTTAATTGGACATCCAGTTGAACATGTTCGTGTTGTTTTAACTGATGGCGCTGCCCATGCTGTGGATTCCAGTGAACTTGCCTTTAAATTAGCTGCAATATATGCATTTAGAAAGGTCCTTGTCATATCCTTGAGTGAAGTGAATTCTTTTTAAATTTGATTTAACACATATTCTGGAACCTACTTTTGCCAGCATGATCTATTTTTCAACTTCAAAATTTTGTCCACTCCAGTTATTATGTATATTAAGTTCTGAAATTTTCAAACAGTGCTATACGGCTGCAAAACCAGTGATATTGGAGCCTGTTATGCTCGTTGAGTTGAAAGTACCTATGGAGTTTCAGGGAACTGTAGCTGGTGATATTAATAAGTGAGTGTTTTCTTACTTTACTGAAGTACTAGATCTTTCTTTTTTCTTTTGTTTTCTTGTCAATCAAAATATATGGGTTAATCCCACTATTTTTGACTGAAAATGTTACTGCTGTGATTTGATAGGAGGAAAGGTGTTATTATTGGAAATGACCAGGAGGGAGATGACTCTGTTATTACTGCCCATGTAAGTATCTCTTGCTGTCTTGTAATAGTAGTTCATACTTCTTCCTTTTTGCTTAGCCAATAAAAGGAGGTGCTTTTGCACAGCTCGACTTTAATGCTACTAAGAAAATTTATATATTTTGTCCAACATCTGTGTAAGATTCAAGCATATTTGGTAATACAATACCATACTTCCAGCTTCTCTTCTGGTTAAAAGGTATGGTATGTGCGTCAGGTTTGTTCTTGGGAGATATGGGAGCTTCTGTCGATGGTAGTGGTTTAGAAAATGTAGGAATTCATTAAATTTTCAGCTATTTGTACTTTGTAGGTATGCTCTTTTGTCTGAAAGAAAAAGTCCTAACCAAAAAGAGAACTTCTCAGTTGGAGTTAGTCCCCTTATACTTGCTTGTTTAAACCGTATGAATGTGTAGATACTTGGTTTGATACTTTTACAATATTGCAGTGTGAAAACACTCGGCAGATCTGATATTTCTTGCTATTCATCATATTATTTATTTAGGCATCGTTTCTTTTTTGGAGTAATTACTTACATGTCTGATATAAAACATTATACATGTTGAAACATTTCCCGTATTTATTAAATTTGGTTGGAGTGGTGTTTGCATTACCTTAAAATTAATGGCTGTTTTTATGAGACAAGTCCCTGAAAAATATCGTGTATTGGCTCTTAGGTTCCTCTGAACAATATGTTTGGGTATTCGACTGCTCTTCGATCAATGACACAGGTAATGAAGAACATTCTCTTTCAAGTGCAAAAATATTTCATTTCCGAATTCCCACTTGAATTGTGTGTAAGTAATACTTCTATCTCTGCAGGGAAAAGGTGAATTCACAATGGAGTACAAAGAGCACTCGCCGGTTTCTCACGACGTGCAAACGCAATTGATAAACAATTACAAGGGCACCCATGCTGCTGAATAGCACACGGTGTCCGGACACAGTTGGTAAACAATTACAAGGGCACCAGTGCTGCTGAATAGCATGTGTTTCGTCGGATGCATTTGCCCCTTTTTTAAGTTGCCGGAGTCCAATATGTTAGTTATAATGTTAAAATTTTGGAACTTTAATATTATTAATTCTTTTAGGGAAAGAGTAATCTGTGTTACATGATCCATAATTTTGAAAAGCACCAATAAAACTCAAATTGCCTATTAAGGGCTGAGATGATGTATCACTTTCTCCTGAACTGTGTATCATATAGTTTCCTTTCATTATTTTGGGCTGAATACTTGTACTGTACCATTATTATAAAAAGAAAAAGGGTCCCTAAATACATTTAAGGCATTTTTTTCAGCCTTCATTAGGCCCCAAGTATAATACAGACAATTTAATATAGTAGCTAAGTTTGTATCTTTGCTTCATAGCATCAAAAGGATAATTTGGTGTTATGAAATGGCTCTATGTACCACCCTTCAAATGCTTTATATGCATAAAGCGTCCCACACCATCCACACCACAAGTAGACACAGAGAAACATAGCGGAAATGAAGAAGAGCTCAATAGTTTTTCTCAAAAGGGTCCATTGTTCCTACTAGTCATTCTACTTTTAGCCATTTGCTCGGTCACCGAAGCTCAGCAGCAATGTCATCCAAGCCGCCGGATTAGAGGCAGGAAGGCTCCGCCTGGACAATGTAACCAAAAAATGAATCCTAACTTGTGGTAAAGGCAAAATGTACACAACCTACACATGTTCACCACTGTTGTCTGCAGCGATGAGGGCGGTCCATCAGAATGTACAACCAATACCACAATGACAACACACCGGTTGTGGCACTATCCACTGGATAGTGTGGCGGCCATGGTGTTGGATGAGGGTGGGATGTGATGCATACCATGATTATCAACCTCCTCGTCTGAACAACGTTGATGATGACTCAAAGGCTGTCTGGGAAGCCTTGGTGTTCCCGAGGACAACTGAGGTGGCTTAGATACTACATGGCCCGACGCTTAGCTTGTTGCTTTTGTTGGTTTATGTATTTGTATTTAATGTGGAAGTTGTTGTATAATGTGTTACATGAGAGTAGGATTATATTTATAATTTCCTTTGAATTGAATCTTTTTGATTGTAAGCTAGTTCATGGTTGCAGATTGGGCTTTTTTTGGGGTAGAGAATTGCAGTGGAATCTGAAGCCTCCTACGTAAAACAAATGAAGATGTTGACAATTAAGACATCGGCAACTACATACAGCAAAAAGATCTTATGGAAGGACTCTAGCATAAAACAATGGTAATTTGTTCACAATAAGGAGCTTGCTATTTGATGTGAACATAGGAAGAAGCCGCCTCTAATAATCAGTAATCACCTCAACATGTTTGTTGCGCTAAAACGTAAAAATTACTGATTCTATAACAAGCAACAAAATGAAACAAGAAACATCCAAATCATTCTAACGAGTTTACAAACTAATTCATTTCAGTCAACTCATAGGGGGCGGTAGTGGAGGGTTATTGAGGGGAGGAGGTGGGGGCATTGATGCGTGTTGCATATTTGGGGGCCTCATTTGAGGTGGGGGTGGTCGCCACATAGGTTGTTGGTTTCCCATGGCCATAGGTGGTGGAAGAGACCTTGGAGGAGCTGGAGCACCCTGTGGAGGGGGTTGTGGCATGTTTGGAGGAGGAGGTCTGAACTGTTGCATTTGCGGTGGAGGCATTTGACCTGGTTGCTGTGGCTGACCCTGCCAGGCTGGTTGTACACTCATCTGCATGGGTGGGAACGCCATACCTTGAGGGGGTGGTGGGCGTAGTGGAGGAAGACCAACACCACCATTTGCAAAAGGTCGTGGAGGCACTGGAGCACCCATGGTACCATTGGACTGAGGACCATTGGCAAGTGTTGGGGGGCCACTAGCGAACAGTGTATGAGGCCTGCTCTTTGAAGTAGGATTGCTTGCAGCCAAAACTCTCTCTGCAATGTAATTCTGGTAGTTAAGTAATGTCCAGCAATAATAACATTGACCCATTCTAATCCCTAATTTTTGTTTTCCCTAAAGGCTAAGCCAACTACAAACTATTTGTTTTGTTTGTTTTTGAAGTGAACCCAACTACTAACTTAATATGGTATATTTGTCTCATCCAAATGCATAATGTGATTATGTAATGTACCAACAAATAAGAAATAAAATGAAAACCAGGAGGAATCAAATTCTGGTCTCAGCTAGATATAGACATTAATGCTGCACATATGAACATACAAATGGTAAAAACGTGTTATACATGTCTCATTTTGGATTCTATCAACTATCATGGTCTCACTAAATTCAACGACACCCCCTTATTAAAGAAGAAGCTTTCATGTGGCAAAAAGAAAAATTACAAGCACAAAAGCAGCGGCTGAGTAAACAAGAGGACTTACCTGCTGGAGTACCATGACGCTCCCCTTTAGTGTCCTTCTTATATGCATATGACACTGTTATTTGACGATTACATAGATACTGGCCATTCATTGCCTTGAAAAAAAAAGAACAAGAAGAAACCCAAATTCTTAATAAACTCAACATGAAAAAGACAGCCATTTCAACAAGCATTACAACAATGGTTGGAAGATATTAAGCTTTTACTGACAAGTAGAAGGATACATACCTCAATAGCTGCATCAGATGCCTCAAAGGAATCATAGCTAATGAAGCCAAATCCACGGGAATTTCCAGTTTCGGGGTCTCTCATTATCTAGAAAAGAGAATTACCAACATTACAGCCCAATTTGCACATAAGCATAACCATTTAATTTATCACAGAAAAATAAAAAATTGGCAATGACCATCATGCATGAATTTACCCTCCAAATAAAGTCACAAGCATGCTAATGTATTTCTTCACATTACAAACATAACTTAATGACAAAGGAAGAAAGAAAAAAAGACAAACTTTAAAAATGACGATAATCCTTTGCGAGAAGTTATTTAAGTTACAGAACGAAATATTCAAATAAAACATGTTAAGCGATGAAAGACATGCTGAGGCATTACCTTAGGATTTGTAACTATGACTCCAAATGCACTGAATGTATCATAGAGGAGTTTCTCATCCACATCCTACAAGAAATATTGGGTTAAAATGCAACATTAGAACTGATTTAATAGAGTATCTATCTATTTGCAAAATAAGGTTTTCCGAAAGTCTTAACAACTTACAACATCAAGATTTCCAACGAAAAGGTTTGCCCCTACATCCAAGCTCTTTTTATCTTGGGATGCCTGAAACCAAAAAATCACACAATTCATCAAAATTCCATTGCTTATATGATATGGGGCATTCAGACACTGAGCAGAATGCTTTTTATGATGTTAAATTCCATTTCATAATTACTACCGTCTAGTGGCACAAAGCACATAGAACCCAGAAAATGTTAGCTAGGAAAGCACAGTTCAATACCTTATTTACACGTATTGGCTTCCCGTAAAGTTTGATCATATTAAGCACCTTGATTGCCTGCATAGCAGTCAATAAATAAATAAATAACCAGAAGCAGAAAACTCTAACAAACAAAAGAAAGAGTAACTTGAGAACAAGGAACATTGTGGCTTATGTACAACACTTACATAATCAGCGTCCTCTTCGCTACGGAATTCAACAAATCCATATCCTTGATGAAGGTTTGTCACTCTATCTTTGGGAACATACACATTCACTGAAAGACAGAGAGCTTAAACATCAGCAAATCTAAATCAAACCAAGTACACATATCTTCGTTAGGATTTTTAATACACAGGTACACATAGATACATACCAACAGGGCCAGCTTGAACAAACAGCTCCCACAGTAATTCTTCAGAAACCTGAAAGCAATCAAACAAAATCAACAACTTGAAACAATAATATAGAAAGACCCAGTTGAGCAAACTCAACAAAAAGGCCCTAAACGTTCAAATTTCTCATCTTTGCTGCGAACACTAGTCGATAGCAAAAACCCAAATAAATAAATAAAAACAAAATGGACAGAGAACCTGAGGGTCGAGATTGCCGACGTAAGCAGTAGCGTCTTGGTTTCTCTCGGCGGAGTGCTGGCCCAGCAAGTTTGCTCCTACTCCTGAGTCGTCATTCTCTCTCTCTCTCTCTCTCTCCTCTCTCTCTCTCCTCTCTCTCTCTCTCTCTCTCTGTGCTTGTTTACTTTGTAGAGCAGAGGAAATTAGCGAATCAGCAGAAGTGAGATTGGCTGCGTATCAATTGATGCCAAAATTTTGAGGACCATTTAATGGAAACAAGATTGTAGCGTGTTGCACTGCCCCTTGTGTTTTGGAAGGCGAAAGAGGAATGGGGATGGCGATGGTAGCTGAGCAGAAAGGAGATGGGGCGTTGGAGCTGCTCGGGATGAAGATGATGATGGCTGGGTTTTGGGTTTTCTTTAAGCCCTAAGCCCAAACCACGCACCCAAAGGAAAACCGCAAACTTTGTCTTAAAATAATAATAACATTATGAAAAAATTTAACAAAAAAATTGAGAAAAGAAAGGAAGATAGAAAGAGAACGCTGTCGTTTGGCTTTTAGCTTAGAAGAGAGGGAAAATGAAGGGAAAATGAAGCTTTAAAATGCATCCAACAATGCAGACCCGCTCTGCACCCGAGTTTGAATCCCCTTCTCATTCTTTAGATTAAATTAAAATAAAATATGACTTATATAAATAAATAAATAATGTATCCAACAATAAAACTGACTTTTTTTATAGTAAAAAAATTAAAAATTAAAAAGGGAGGCCATGGTTCGTATCCATCCTCAAAGAAAGTAAAAACTTGGGTGAAACATGTGTTCTCCAAAATCTCTCCAATCGCACAAGGTCACAACTCACGTAACGAGTGAGATATAAATGATATACAACATATATACGCATGTGCTATATAAATTTTTCTCATTTAAACTAAGGAGATACTCTGTGAATCACAATTTGACACATAAACAAAAATAATTCATCAAAATCACAAAAAGAAAATTTTCTGCACATATGTCACACTACTATTGGCAAGAATGTAGAAGATCCTATTTACGGGGAAGGAGGGAAGTATTTTCCAAGTAAGGAGGAAGCAGCGTCCTTACTTATTCTGAATGTTATGCCAATCCAAAAGAAAGTTGAATGGCTAGATACAATTAAGCGAAAAAGCCTTCTCGAGGCAAAACAAGTTGACAAATAAAAGAACCATATTAATCATGTAAACAATTCATGGCGAGAACGCCCCAAAGAAAAAGAAGAAAAAGATCTAGAAAGTCTATTTTATTTTATTACTGGATACATTATTTTGTAAGCTACGTCCCACTTTCAACAAGAGGCTGGAAAACCCAAAAATTAATTAGTTCCTAACATGAAAGAATACTAGTTCAGGCAAATGCTTGGAATCAACCCAGCTTTCAAAATCATAAAACTGGAGAGACAATATATATTGTGTTTAGGTGAACTAGGTGAATGCTTCTCGCAGCTCCGTCGGTAGCTCTAAGTCGGGCTCAAACTCACTAAGAGGGGAAAAATATTGATCCACCATGTCATTGGACACTTTTTCAACACTTGGAGGATCCCACTGCATATTTTCAGAAAAAGATGCATGTTAAAATTATATGAACAGACAATGTGGACATTGATCTAAAGATGAAAAAGAAGGGTTGCAATATTGCCACTCATTATTTTGGTATTCAAAAGAGAAGCAATAGCCTTTCCAGGTATTTCCATCTCTTTCCTGTTTCCACTTTCTTCAATTACTAGAGTTTTCAGTTAGATTATCAAAAGCCATCTTGGCTCAAAGGATCAAAGAAGGTACCTTCGGTGCAAAGTCCTTTTCGACTACACGTGCCCGAACGCCCTAATGATGTCACCAACCAAGATATTAGTCACAAAAGCATGATCGTATTTCATCGGAAAAATAAATAAATAAATTAGGAACTGTGTACCTCGCAAAAGTCATTTGAAACCTGCTTAGTGATACTCTGTAGGGACATTCGGTACTCACGAACCAAGCACTGATCAAGGGTCTGAAATCTACCTTCTCTTATCTGAACCAAGTAATAATGAAGGGCCAGGTCATAAATATAATATAATGCAATATATTTAAACCAAGTCATCTCAAACATGTTTCATGCAGGCCTACTCACAGATCGCAAGGCAACCTTCAAGCTCAATGGTGAGACTTCTTTAAGTCTCTTTAGAGTAGAAGTGCACCATGCGTCATTTGTTCTACCTGCCTCACATTCCTGCACATTCATTTTTTAAAGCACGCAATCAGATGTTGTCCAAGAGGCAAGAAGGTATAAAGTACAATGATGCCTCAAAGATCCCCTCATTGCTGGAACTTGGAAAGTATAACTTCCAAATGAACTTCCACCCATCATAATATGGGGCCCAGAAGAAAACCAAAAGATGCTTACAATATGAAAAATGAATATCTTTTTAAGGAGTTTTTAAAACTTTGTGAGGTAGCTAAGAATTGGTAATGAAGTTATGTGTAGCAGAATCAGATCAGCAATTTGTTTTGGTCAGTCATTGGAAGTTCTTTAAAGAAAGCAAAAAACGAAACGAAAAAAAAAGTTGATAGCACCCTCTCAAGGCATTACAGTAAACCTTTTAAAGGTGGCAACCAAACCGTTTTTCACTACAATAGCCCTAAATACTTCAAAGGAACAATGTCCTGAAGATTTCGTTTATTATCTGGAATCTTCTCCATGCAGGAAATCTTCAAAGAAGGTTCTCAGATTGACACATGAGTAATTTGCCTCCCAGATCAAATAAATCTTTCTCAAAATGACTGCAATTATTTTCTATGTTTCTTCACTTCTTTTATTTTCAGTGCAGTAAATAAATCATCTACAACATGATTAAGAGAACTCTCTTTCAAGATTGTTACTTAGAAAGTATCAAATGTACTTTTTTTTTCTTTTGAGAGACAAATATAACCTATAATTTAAAACAATTTCAATAATAAATTCAAATGCTAAGGATAGTATAGTACACATACCCTATTCTTCCAACCAATCCACTCTCATCGTACATACCTCACACTCAAATTCTCTCCTACTTTAACCCATCATGTTGCATACATATCTCGTGTGTCACTCCTTTGAGTTTTAAGAAATAAAATTGAAAAAAGTTAAAACACCATGATCCCCTGAAAATCTGATAGAATTTTTTATTGGTTTAATGATTCTAAATCTAAACTAACAAGAAGCAAGTCAAAATTGATACATGCTTACCAAGGCATCAATAATTTCCTCAACCGTGTCATGGCTGAAACATTTATCAACTAATTCAATCCTACACAAACCAGACATGAATACATAAGCTAGCTGAAATCGTTATATATATATATTAAAGGAGCACACAACCAAAGTTTGAAAAATTCATACAATAAACATCTAAATTTAGCTGACAATACAGAATATAAGGACGATTTGTAAATATAATAAAATGTCCTTGGAACTAATTGCTATAATTAAAACAAACCTATGAAGCACACTTTTCTCATCTGGATAGACAAGTTCACCATACTTGTCTAAAGAAGCTTCAATGACAGAAGGATCATCAGTGACTATTTTCCCAAGTTCTTCTTCAATTAAAGGAAGCCTCTAGGATAAAGGGAAACAAATCACAAAGGTTATATAACAAAGATAAACCGAAAACAAACTTTAAAAAATGTGGAAAGAGTCCTGAAATTAACTGAACTATGCAAATAGTGTGTTGCAAGCCCAGAAGCAATCATGTCCAATCCATTGAGCCTTTCACCTGTAAGGGCCACGAACTCCCCTACAAACGAGACCAGACATAGGCAAACTGAATTTGGAAAGTAATGACGGTGGACACTCTCCCATGCAAAAGAATACTATTAGATACAAGATGAGGAAGAAAAATGGAAAGGGGCCAACTTAAAGGTTAATTAGAAAGAAGAAGAAAAAAAATGGACGCACTGATTTTTTTTTTTTTTTTTTTTTTTTTTTTTTTTTGGTTCACGGTCTTAAATGAAGAGGCAAATTATGCCAATTTTAACAGCTCCTCAACATCATTCTTTCCCTAAATAACTCCCAGATGCTTCCTCAACTTCAGGAGAAGAAGGAAGACAAATTGAGTCACTTTCACACGAGGGCAGCATGGATTTCAAACCCTTTGGGAATCTCCTGAGCAATTGTCCGCATTTAATATAATTCCCATCATTTCTCTTGTTAAAATACATATCCTCCATCAGTCTGGAGGAAAAAGGAAAATCTGCAACCTTATCTTTTCTGTTTTTGAACTTGTACTACAAATGAATAATCTAAAAGCCAAGTTACATGCATGAAAAACCAAGCAAGCATACCTAAGTGACCCGGTAGATGTGACAGGTAAAAGGATGCCCCAGCATCGGGATGGAAACCAATTAGAGTTTCAGGGGTAGCAAATACCTGCAAATTGCAAGGATACCCTATAACAGCAGCTTCTACCAGCACATCGATGTAAAGAGGAAACAGTTTGATCATTTGATTAAAAGACGAAGAAGTAATATCAAATTCTTGTCTGACTCCTTTCTCTATGGTGAATAAAGGAAGATCCTACTGCTACAGTTAAAAATTGCATACTCAAATATAATATTGAGCAAGCCAAAACCATTTTTCCCCCAAATGGATAGGTTGATTCCACATAAATGATTTGCAGAAATATGAACATATATGATGTCTTTTTGGAAGTACAATGCATTGCACTGATTCAGCTGAATATATTAATTCCACAGTTTCAGTTGGTTTCAATTCCACATAGGAGCGGGGTGGTGTGGGAGGGGAAGCAAATGAGCGACATAGTTAGGAGCAGAAATTACACATGAGATACACAAGTCACTTGTCCTTTTGTATGTCATTTTACTATTTTACTATATAAAGGTGAGCTAGTTTTAAGTGTCCAAACCAGATTCACGTGCAAACTGACATATAGATGTCATGCCAAAGTGGGTGCACAAGACACAGACGTTAGAGAAAGGGATCAGATGCTTAAACAGTCCCCTATAGCATAAACCCCTGACCAGGCTGTGAAACACATTTATTTATTTAGTAAAGATAATAATTAATACTGCACCAGAAACACCCATCTGTAGCTTGTACGCTAAATTCTTCAAAGGGCAAGGGACACAAGACATATTCTATACTGGTTAGACTTCCTAAAATAACTTGACATTTTTGCTGCATTACACAAGTCCCAAAACACCTCGACATGTTTCAGTTCTTTTCATATATTCAGAACTAGTTTTATTCCTTTAAACATGCTCAAGTCACAAGCAGTTAGTCATATAAAATTATAAATGCTTGAGTGTAATAAAATTAACAGTGGGAGGATTTTGCAAAATAGTTGATGGGAATCCTCATGAAAAAGAGAACAAGGAACAATGAAATATGGACCAATCACCAAGCCAACAAACATCTACAATAGAGAAAAGTAATGTGTACAAGTATCCTTGTTACATACAGTTTTATCAGTTGCAATGCGGAATGTCCCGGGTATTGAGACCCCAGCACCACCACCCATGGTAATGCCATTCAAGATAGCCACCTGCATGGAGATTAATCATGAACTTAAAAATGAGAAGAAAATTAAGAAGCGCTGCAAGATTAGGAACCTAAAATGCTTGTTCGCCCGAGAATGACTCAATAATGATGAACTTACATGTGGCTTCAAACATGTACCAACCATATACATAAATGCATATAGTGTACTAAAAAATTGTTTACATTCTTCTATTTTCCCTGCACATTGTAAGGCAAATTTACAGGACTGTTAACACAATTGTCTGATATTAAGCAGAAAAAGAAACCAACTGAGCCATAAAAGAGAAATATACTTTGCACCCCTTTCAACTGGCTACATAATGCTAACTTCATCAAATTTGAAATCAAATAAAAGTATGTAAGCCATAAATATATGTCTACAACTTATAAAATTGTTTGATAGCAAATCAGAAGGGTGTCCACCTTTGTTTATCATATGATAAAGATAAACTACATCTCCACCAGCACAAAATGCCTTGCCACTGCCCTTCAAAAATTCAAAACAATTTGTCAGCTGCCACCTGAGTAATCGCAACTAAGCAATATCAGCATAAGCATTGGACCAAAATTGATGAACAAGAAAAACAATCACCTTCATTACAATAAAACCAATATCAGGATTATCTTCCCAGCTTTTGTACAGTTTCTGCAATCTAGCCCCCTGTATACTCATTACGGGAGTTCTTAGAAATGGGTTCCAAACGAAACCTTAAATAGAATTAAGGGTCTAAAAAAAAGAAAAAAAATTGATTGCTTTAAAAGATAAAAACACACCATTGCAGTCGTGAGAGCATTGAGCGCTGAAGGTCTGTTGAGAATCGCTGTCCTGGACCAAGCTTTGCCTTCAACCAATACCTGAGACTCTCAGAGAGCTTGCGTTTCACATGTCTGAGCTTAAATAGAAAGAATAAAGAAATGGGTAATCGACAAAAGCTCACTTGGTGGCCAAGATCATCGTTGAGAGCATGGTCTGGGAGAGAGCAGAGGCCTCTGCAATGGCTAAGCAAACGGCAATTGTGAAGGCCGTTTCTTACCAATGAAGCTGCCTTGAACCTCTGCATCTTTTTCTTTCGAAATTCTACTTGAAGCCACTACCGCGTAGAACCTGTGAACTCTTCTGGTAACATAAACCCAATATTCTTATTCCGGAAAGATTTTTTTCCTCTTTTTTGCTTTATTTCTTCCATAACCCATTTGAGTTTTGAATATAATGGGCTAATTCTATGTTGATATTTAGCCCACCCAAATTTTAAGCCCTAAAAGCCCAATCCTTTTCTTTCTGTCGCCGCCTCCGCTAAGCTCTGGCCTCTGACATTCCGTCGCCACCCTCCCAGTGTCATCCCTGATCTCAGACCGCCATCGACTCTCTCTCTCTCTCTCTCTCTAACTCTTCTCAGCCTCTATCGTGTCTGTCTCTATTTCTCGAACTCAAACCCTATTCCAAACTATCATCTCTTATCTCTCAGACTCTCAGACTCTGTCTATCTCTCAAACCCTCGGACATCGACGGTGGACCAGGCTCACCAACTGCAGTCTGCAACGGACGAGGTAATTTTTTAACTTGGATTTTTTGTTCCATTTTTATACTAATTGTCTATGATCACACTTTCAAATTTGAAACAATTTGATTTTTTATTATTATACTTATTTTGCTGCTGTTGTGATTAATTATGTGGTTAGGCTTAGTTTGTGTGTTTCATAGATAATAGATTTGCATAGGTTATCTGGGTTTTCTGGATTGAAGGGGTTTCTGCATGTGATTGTGGTTTAAATGTTTGTGTAATTAACGTGATAAATGATAAGTTTGCGTAATCTGCATTGTTGTTGAGTACTGAATTGTCCACATTTCTCAGCCTGCATATATATATATATATATATATATATATATATATCTATGTAATTTTCACTTGGATGCTTTTCGATTTCATACTTTGTTGGCCCGTTCGTTTGTCTGTGTTTCTCCTTCCTATTATTTGTTGTTTTCTTTTCTTTTATGCTTTCAGAACATGGTTCTGTCTAAGCAAAAAATCTGATGGTTCTTTTTCAAATATCCAATTTTCTAGGGAAATTGATGAGATTTTTCTTATACTTCTCCTTGACCGTTTGTTTTTCTTTGTGTACTATCACCTTTGCTCGTGGTGAGAAGGTGGGGTTTTAAATGCTGATATGCTGTGTTGAAATTACTTTGTTCTTGGGATGACTGAATCTTTAAGTTGAGGCACAATTTTTATTATAATTTTCTTTTTCTGACTAACTGTTTTATTTTCTTATCCTATTTGGGTTGGTTTTCATTCAGAATTTAAGCAGAGCCATCTAGTAAATTGTAGCTAATTTCAATTATGTTTCAGCTGCACAATTAGGTAGGTAGTCTGATTGAGTATTCAAGAATGGATGAGACCATGCAAAGCTTAATTGAGCTTGAGACTGAAGCCGAGCATCTCCTTTTAGCCCGACACCAGGTAATTGTGTTTTTATTCTTCAAGAAGAACCTGAGAAGTTGGAAAGTTTAAGCTCAGAGATTCTTTTTTCTTTTTGCAAACAAGTTTAAACTCAAAGATGATAGTACATAATGTTTCAATAACAAATTGATTGGTTTAAAAGACTGGAACCACATGATTATGTTTTAGATACTGTAGATTGTATATAACTGGCAAGACAAATTAATCTATTCCATCATGGTTATTTGGCTTAGTTATTCGAAAATTCCCTTTTGGTTCCTTAATAACTAATATGTTTAATTGGGTTTTGTTAATTGATCCATCCCAGTACAGTTAAGTGGCTTTATTTTTGAACAAATTCAAGTTTATTATAAACTAATGTATTTTATTGGGTCTTGTTAGTAAGACATTGAAGGGATTATTTTGTTATGGCGAAAATGCAGCTGGTTGAAAATGACAGGGTGAGGAATGGGAATAGAGAAGCACTTACATCTTTGAGGAAGATAGCTCGGACAACCAAGACTAGTGTTCCATCTCCTTTTGAGTCGATAATGAAAGAGATTGCGGGGCCTGAATCAAGACCTTTGGTGAAGGAGGTATGCCCCACATGCGGCAACCATGACTCAAATGAGCGCACTTGGATGATGTTCCCAGGAACTGATGTCTTTGCAAGGATTCCATTCCATGCTGCCCACACCATATTGGAGTCAGGTTTTCTTTCAGGCCTCATTTTCCTTTTTCTTTTTATGCAATTATTTGGGAGCATAAACAACAGTAGTAAGTACACTATTTGACATATCAAAATTGTGATTTAACCATTTATCAAGAAATATTTTAAAGAGGCTTTGTTGAGTTCTTTAGGAAATTTGGTGTTGTCAATAATCAGATGTGGACTTTTGATTTCAAAACTTCTTCTTTTCTTTTTTCTTTTTAACTTTAGAAAATCGTCATTTCTCTCATTAGGTAACTTATATAGTACTCAGTACGATTCTTTACTGGTCAAATTGACAAACAATATCTGAACGATAAAACCTTGGTGGCTATCGGCTGGGATAGCTGGTATAGTTAGATTTTAATTCCTTTGTTATTTTAGTTTATAAGGTTTAGAGTATAAGGAAAGAATCAAAACAAGCGAATAAAGGCATAAGAAGTTGAAATCTTTTCTGAACTAGGATATCCATTGGTAGCCCTTGTGAGCAGAAGGGATTAAATAATCTATGTAGGATCTATAAAGAAATTGATAGACCAATTTATGAATCTCCCAAACTCTTTGAGCTCTAGAATTACCTTCCATTCAAAAAGGCTATTGATGTCTATAAAGATATCATCTCCTGATATGCAACATCCATTAATCTCACAAAAGCTGTGCTCGAGACTATATTAGAGAATTCGAAATGGAGATGAGAGGGATCCGTTCATCAGAAATCTTTTAGGAATGCATGGTTCTTTGTTCCTGCTGAAAAGTTTTCAATCCAACTGGTTATTACTCGTAGTGTTCCTACTGGTTAATGGATACATAAAGGAATTCAGTTGGGTTTTGAGATGAACGTTGCTGTATGGCTGTTTTATCTCTCATTACTATCTAAAGTTGGGAGTATAGCTCATGAACTCGCAGGATTCATGAGTTGTCATCTGTGTTTTCTTATATGTATGTATATATTGTGTTAGTTACATTGTTTTTAATTTAATTATTTTTCAGTAACTGATTCTGAAACTTAATTTTGCCCTTGGGATCCAGAACAAGAACAACTTGACTTCGATTCTAGAAAGCTACAAAGCATTGTGAAGGAAAAGTCCCTTTTGATTTCAGAAAAAGGTGTCCTTGCGGACAAGGTGTCTCCGGGTGTGATGAAGTCTTTGGTAACCCTGACAGACAAACCAAAGTGAGTTGTGCTTGATGCATTGATATTCAATTCCATTGTAACCTCACATCCGTTCCCAAATAAGGATAAAGGAATGAACATTAATCTCTCTGGCTAGCATTAGTAAGTTAGTAACATAGCTCTGTGTAGACTAGTGTTGATAATTTTCCCACCAGTGTAGCTCTGTGCAAACAACTTCTCTTAAAATCAGCATTTTCCTCTATAAGGGGAAAAGCTAGAAATTGTTGCATGCTTTAATATGCGGTTACTACTTGTTGAGGGCTGTTTGAACTCGTTGCATCGCTATTTTGAGTTTTGATACTTTCAGAATAGGAAAAATGCAATTGTACCGATGAAAATGTATAGGAAAGTGATTGTGTTTATCTGTTGAGGGATTCACGAGTCTTGTATGATGTTAAATCTTTGCACACTAGTCATAATAGTGCTCATTTCCCCACTAGAAATATCAATGGTAAGACAGGTTCTGCAGGATCCCCGCACACTAGTGCTTCCTATTGTATGTTTTGTCTTTGTTTTTCCTTTGAGTGCCAAGTTTGCTTCCCCCTTGCCCAAAAAGATTGGTGTCTGGTTCAAGGACCATTTTGTTTTATATGTTCACTAGCTGCTGTGTGGAAGTTTCATGTGTGCTGCTAGTAGAAGTGAAGGTAAATGTAATGGGCTTGTCATGTTTAGTATTAGCTGCCACAAATGCCCCCTTGCTGGAGGTTTCAGATAGAGACTTTAGGAGTCTAACATAATTTTACTTGGACTAAATAGAAATCAGTATGGATGCTCTGTTTTCGTCGTGTATGTGTGCTTCTGCTTATAATAAAAATAAAATAAAAATAAAGAATTGCTGAGAGAGAGAGAGAGGAACTTATTAGATTGTTCTTCTCAGAATTGGCCTAGTGTTTCTGAGCAGTGTTGGCTTTGAGGGTTTACTTGAGAAAGTGCAAAATCATTCAGGATGAAGTTAGGCTTTGAAAATTTGTGGGAAGCAAGACAGGCCACTTATCTAATCTCCTACAGAGCCTATGGAGGGGTGAGGGCGTAGGGAAGAAGATGAAGTTATACTGTGATGTATGTGAGGGGCAGAAGAGATGTTTGGTCCTTTTCCTCCTCACTTGCGTTGCCTTGTTCCGTGGGGTGTTGGTTTGGAAGACTACACCCTCTTGTAATTTTGTGGCACACACCAAACAAGTATAACCAAAATCAATCCCATTTCGTAGCTAGGACATGACACAACTATTCCAATTTGAAACAGACAAATGGGACAGGCGCGAGACTATTCTTATTAAATTGGACAGCAATCCCCCGTATCAAGAAAAAAAAACAAGTCACATCCCCAAGGATGGAACTTGCATAAGTTAACTGAAATCTTGCTATAAAGTTAGCAACACAAATATTTTGCTCTAATGTCAATGTCACACTTCAAACTGTAGCATGACAAATTATTGAGGACCAATTTACAAGAATTGAGCTATAAAATTCTCATCTTCTCCCTGCCTACTATGTTATTAAAAAATATATTTTTTATGCCAAAACTATTTGATAAAATATATTTTTAATTTTATACGTTAATATATATAAAAATAAAGAATAAAAATTCATTCAATATAAAAGTCCCTGTAAAGTTAGACATTACGTACAGAAGAGTCAACTTCTGTGTCAGCCTTTAACCACAAATGCCACCAGTCTCTGTACTCTCTCCTCCTCCTCCTCCTCCCCGTTGGACAGTCAGACTGCCTCTGCCTCCGCCTCCTCTGGTCATCTGCTACTCTCACCCAACGCTCCTCGTCTGCTCTCGTCCGCGCGTGCCCAGCTGTGACCTATTTCTGTAATTTCATCGCCTTTCAAGGGCAATCGTTTGTATCAGTTAAGACAGCTGTCTTGAGCACGGAGCGAGTATGCCTCCAGTCCAAGTCTTGGGAGTGAGATGTTGTGCTGCAGCAGTGGACCGATACGTGTGTACAAACTAGTAACACTGAATAATACATCGTACGATGAAGATACGATCATCTGTTTATCTGTCGCTTGGTTTTTTATAACCCTTATGACCTTCTCTTTCACTTCATTTTACACAAAATTTCCAATTATTTTTTCCTTCCTCGCACATTTTAATTCTTAACATACAAGTTAAATCTCAATTACAAGCAAGCACTTAATAGGTTATTTTTAACAATTTTAGCGACGGCAAAAATGAGAAATTAAATCGTCTAAATTTACAGTTCATCTCACACATTTTTTACGTAATGTGATTATGTAACTTCAGATGAGAAATAAAATTTGTGATATTAAGCAATTTCTAGGTTATTTTTGTATTAAGCTCGATTCAACATGTATATTTTTCTTCTGCAAAAGAAAACTAGGAAGCTACAAGGTAGGAGCCCCTAAAACACCACCACTCTATAAATCCAACTGAAGGCTGACTGAACAAAATGAGGTATATAGTCTGCTCAGATATGTTGATGTTGGTATTGGTGTCCCAAATTAGTCTGAGAATCAGCAACAAAGTTAACTTCGCGAAAATTAATTTTCGCTTATATGCACGATAGCTAAATATAAGAGCTCGAAATCCCTTTAACATGTATATTTGAGTCAAGCGGATGCATTGTTTTCCAGTTTAGCGAAATAATCAGAATGCATATTCTTGAGTGGGTTTTTACCCAAAAATTTGATAAACCACACCCATGGTCGCACAGGATTCCCAATCCTGTTATCTTTCTTTATGTCGAATAAAAACCAAAAGCAATATTGCCAAAAGGGTAGATATATAGTACGATTTGAGATCTTGATGATAATCGACTCTTTTCTTTTATTTATTTTTTAATGTTAAAATAATGGTGAAACCCATAATGGCTTATAAATGCATACAAAAAGAACAAAAAATTTATCATGCTCATAATTTGCATTATCGTACCTACGTACTATATATCAAGGTAGGCTTACAAAGAAACAAAAAAACAACAATAGGTTCATGGGCAGAGAATCATGCTTTAATCAAACAACAAATGATGGTTCCTTGACATCGAAGTTGTTCCATTTTCATTTTTGTTTCCTTTTGAATCTGTCTTTTGGGTTGCAACTTGCAACTAAGTGCGGGACTAGAAATTTTCATACGAATGGGCTAGATTTTTTTAATTATTTATTTTTCATTTAATGAGCTTCTAAGGTTTGTAGTGAACTAAATTTTTCTGAGATGGAGTAGGCTATGGTGAACTTTCTAAAATCAGCACTAAATTCTTTTTTTTATATATATAAATATTTACACTCTTTCGGAGCCCACCTGATCTCAGAAAAATTTAGTGCAACAACTTCCGTCAAAGACGATGTAGAACCAAAAGAGAACATGATCAGTATTAAGGAGCGGATTTTGGGAGAAGAATTTGATTGTGAACATAGTCGAAAAGAGGTGATGGGGAACTTCAATATGAGCTTGCCTCAAAAGAAATCACCACAAGGGGCGTCTTATTCAAAACGCCCCAATGGACTTATTCACTAACCCAAAAGAAAAAAGACGAGAAGAGAAGAGGGGGAGGAAGGGCAGTGACGCTTCCTCATCCTCCATCAATGGAGTTTTTCCTTTGAGACTCACATAGGGAGAGAGCGCCTAGGGTTTTTTTTATTTTTTATTTTTTTTATAGTTACAAAATGTGGCTCGTGAATCGAATACTTTGTTACCTAGTTGAATTAAAAAGCAAAAAAATGGTGTATGATATGATTATTGGGTTTTATGCCAATTATTAAATGTTATTTGGATAGAAGTTACAATGAGTTATATTTTTTTTTCAAAAAGCAACTTATAAACTATAAGGAGATAAGTTGCAGAAAGATTTTTTTTCAGCGAAAGCTGCACAAAGAGGGATGCCATAAATATTAAACCTGCCACAGCTCGTCTACTGTGGGGTCTATTTATTGAGCCCAGAAGACTTGACAGTTATATATGGTCTGGATAAGAGTTGGTGCATCGATACAAACTATTGGAGCAAAATACTTACCATTTCTTTTTATATTTTCATTAGTTTTATTTCTTATTACATCAGGGTAATATATAAATTTGGACCCTATTGAAAACGTTATGTAAAAAGAAAAAGGTAAATTTGTCTAAATTAGGATTAAAGAGATATTTAGTGATATATTCATTCTTAGTACTAATAATATAGTAAACCCTACACCATTGAATTTCTATAAATAAATAAAAACCCAAAAAATGACAGCTAGCCTGGTCCTATTGAATTTAAGTTTGATTATTAAATTATTTTGATACCCTATTGAGAATTTTAAGATTTTTATGAGGTTTTGGATTTGGGCTTGTTTTAAGAAATTGATGGCAGTTTTGTAATTTATAAGAAGTTAAAAGCCTCTTTGTTATGTTGTAAATGGGTTTTAAGTGTGTTTCTAAAGTCCATTTCATTTTATAATTTGGGCCCCTATATTGGGTATAATAGTGAATCTCCCATAAAATAAGTGTGAGATTGAGCCTAAATTAAAGATTAAAACGAGATCAAAGTATATAAATTTTGTCCCCTTTTTTTTTCTTCTTTGATTTTGATTTTAATCTTTTGTGCCTGTAGTTTTTATTGTCACCATTGCCATTGCAATAAAATATCCAGACATGTGTTGAAGACATCGCTTTCTCTCCTCCTAAATTGGTGAAACATTTATAGGTGGATGGGGTTAAACCCAAAAGATATCTAGTTAGTAGAAAGTATTTATCAACTTGGTGATCCATTCACTCGTTTTCATTTCTAGACCTTGCTGATCATTATAATATATACATGTGTATGTTTTTCAATATTTTTGCCCTATACACCACATGATCGTGTTTCAATATGATATAATAATTAGTTTGTTGAAACAATCATAAACTCATGTGGACAATCTTCTCGTATTGTATTAGTAATGGAACCACTCACTGCATTTTGTATTTTAATTTGTCAACTTTCCAACGTGGGATTTTAAATAATTCAAAAATATTATAATATTGTCAACTCAAATTAATGTTGATAAAGCTTGACATGTTTATATGAAGCATACCATGTAAGCTTATTGGGAAAGAGAATATCTTCCCCGGTTTGCATGATGGCAGCAACAAAGTGAACTTAATTTGAGAAGAGTTTATGTGGATATGTTATAATTTATTTAGACGCATATGTTAGGTTTGTTTAAGTGATGATACAAATTTTTTATTATTTTTTTCAAAAGATAAAAGTTGAGTTAGGTCGCTTTCAATAATCAAGAAACAAAATTCAACCCTCTTCAAAACAAAACCAAATCAAACCATTTATGAATTTTTTTTTAAAAGGTCGAAGGGATAAAAAAGGTGATAAAAGGCTATGATGATCCTCTCTGCTCCAAACTGATGAAAACTCGACACGGCAAAACAGATAGTGGGCCCCTCATTTAATTACCATAACCGTGTTACCGAGAGAGAGAGAGAGAGAGAGAGAGAGAGAGAGAGGCATGGCCATTACCCACGAGGCCACACAAGTCACCAACAGCCAAGCCAAGCCACAGCGTATGAGGAGAAAGAGTTCCCTTCACAATTCCTCCACGGTCCTAACTAGTTGGACACAGAATTTCATTGCCTTGTGGCAATAATAATTAGGGTGAGGCTGGACAAAATGGTAATTTTGAGAAAGAGAAACTGATCCACTAATCAAGTCCCTCTGCAGAAGCCACCTCATTACTCTCTCACTTGCTCCTCCTCCTCCCTCCCTCCTTCCCCCTCTTCTCTTCTCACTTTGCTTTTCACCTTTTAGCCTCTCTTTCTCTCTCTCTCTCTCTCTCTCTCTCTCTCTCTCTTCTAAGCAAACTGGGAAAGAAAGAAAACCCACCCCATTGTTTCCATCAATGTGACTATTTGAGTGTGTCTCAGTCTCATTGTGATCTTATATATGAGCTAAGCCCTCTTTTCAGAGAAAGAGTGTGAGAATTGGAAGAAAAGTAGCTGCAGACACCACCACAATCAGTGAGTGAGTGACTGACTCTGTTACTGTGCCACTCTCACTTTCATACACTCAATTTTCAACAAGCTAGAGAGAGAGAGAGAGAGAGTGTGTGTGTGTGTATGTACCCGTAATGTTCATCTAACTGACACATCATCATCTCTTTGGCCATTGCAGGTTCTTTTCTTTCCCTAAAAAGACCTCGTCGGAAAGGGCGCCCCGGCAAAGACCCACGAGATCATTACCAAAATGCTGGACTACGAATGGGGAAACCCCTCCACCGTCATGCTCTCCCCCGACAACGACCCCGGATCCGACCCCACCCGACACCACCACAACACCACCACCATTTTCGACCATTACGCCTCCCAAGCCTCCCAAGCCTCCGCCTTCAACAACCTCGTCCCTCCTCCTCCTCCGCCGCAACAGCAATCTCACCACGCCGCATTTGCGCACCACTTTAACTCGGCCCAGGCCCAGCAGCTCCACTCCATCTACGACGCCCACGCCTATGCTAGCGCATCGGCCTACGCGCCTCCAAACCACCACCCTCTGCTCTCCCTCGACCCGATCCACGGCGGCGCGGCCCACGGGCTCATTCTGGTCCCAAAATCAGAGGACCTGTGCCGGCCCGTGGACTTCGCGTCGAGGATCGGGCTCAACCTCGGCGGCCGGACCTACTTCTCCTCCGAGGACGACTTCATGAACAGGCTCTACCGCCGGACCCGACCGGCCACCGACACCGGGTCGACCCACGCCCCGCGGTGCCAGGCCGAGGGCTGCACGGCGGACCTCTCCCACGCCAAGCACTACCACCGCCGCCACAAGGTCTGCGAGTTCCACTCCAAGGCCTCCACCGTCATCGCCAACGGGTTGACTCAGCGATTCTGCCAGCAGTGCAGCAGGTTCAAAATTACCCCCAATGCCCCTCCCCCCAATCGCGTAATGACCGAAATGCCCCTGGGGTCTTGCTTGCTGTTCTCCTCCCGCCCGGCCAATGATTGGCGAAATCCCATTTGCCGGACACGGGGTCGATCCCCAAAGGCACTTGCGTCCGTATACAAATTATTACGTGCCCCGTTTTCCGTTTGGTTTGATAAATGCACGTGAGCAAGGGTTTTTCTTGTCTGAAATGATAAAAAAAACCCTGGTCTTGCTGTGGATTGACGATAATGGCCATGGGAGACGAATCATGTTTGGTGCATGGCCCAATGATTGGCGCGTCCGTACATTTGGGCGATCCCGAGGGCATTTCTGTCCGTGAAAAATATTATACCCTTCTTTTGGTTATTGCGCTTGCCGTTTATGGACCGTGTTGCTTTACTTGTTATGGAAAGAATTTGTTGATGTTGATTAATTAGTATTAATTAATAAACTATAATTAAATGCAGCATTTTGACTATATTTTGTGGTAACGTTTTTTTCTTGCAGATTCCATCTTCTTCCCGAGTTTGACAACGGAAAGCGCAGCTGCCGGAGGAGATTGGCCGATCACAATCGTCGCAGGCGAAAAACTCAGCAAACAAATCAAGAGAATCACAACTCACAAGTACAGCAGCTAGTGGAAAATGCCCGGAATTCTTCTTCAGATAATGTTGCAAGTAATTAATTAACCTAGTTCATAAATTGAGACTTTACCCTTACTTTATTAAGCTTTCTTTAATTTTGGTTTTAGTATGTGGAAATTGAACTTTTGTAACATTTGGTTTTCTGGGATTTGTTTGGTATAGGGTCTCCGCCTGAGTCGGCAGCTCATTCGGCGTCCTCTGTGACCGTGGCCCTGTCGCCGCCAAGAATGACGTTGGATTGTTTTAGGCAAAGACCCTATCAAGCTGCTGCCACAACTTCTTCAGGGTCATCAAGCTCACTTTTTTTCTCAAGTGGGTAAAAGCCAATTAGAATTAGTTAATCAATGGCGTTGTCTATTTTTAATTAGTCTAGTCTTCCCTAAAATTTCAGTCTTAGTCTGAACGAATTTTAGTCACATTAATTACATGCAATATTGGAGCATGAATTTGGCTATTCTCTATATTCTATGCAAGTAGATTCTTTATCATTTTTATTTATTTTTCTCTGCAATTAATGAATGCATTTTAACTCAGTGGAAACAAGGTTGCTGGATATTAAATTGGAAGCTGTTTGTGTTTGGTTCCAGAGAAAGTTATGTGTTTGTGTTTGTCTTGGTGCTAGAATTTTCCGGGAAAATGCAGGGAAAGATAGAAAGAAATTGACTGCAGCACTAGTAGTAGTTTCAGTTTTGTACTTATAACTTAAACTTTAATCTGAGGAGGAATATAATGAAGGGATCGAAAGAGGACGTGAAGCCGTCAAGCTGTCTCCCAAATGGAAGCTGTACTAAAAACCAAGTTAATTATCAAGCAGCAATTTTGATCAAAATCAATCAATCACATGCTGCCCTCAATTAATCTCTCTCTCTCTCCCTCCCCATAGGACCGCTGTGAGCCGTACATCCACATTTCAAAGGGTCCCCGTGGGGGCCTACTCAACGGAAATCACATGGAGGGTAGAAATTGTTAATCATGGCAAGCAATTATTTCACCATAATATGAATATCTCTCCACACAGGGACATAAAAGCTTGTGTTTTGGAAGTACTTCTTTTAACAGCGCTAAAAAAACTCTTTCAAGTACAGGTGAATTTTCAACGAGTCATGCGAGAGTACATGTAAATGGGTTGCCACGCTTTAGCGAGTCGAATTTCGTTAGCGTCAATCATCTTGTTCGTGTTGACGAAATATATCTTGATTAGACTAATTACGTTAACAAATCGGGAACTTAACGAACTATTCATTTTCGAATTAGGTCGATGAGTTTCTAAGGAACAATATTGTACCCTTGCATAATGTAAAATAAGAACAACATTAATTCTATCAGCTAGAGCTAGTTGATGTTACTTTGTGAATTAATGTATAGCATATAGTACTAAATTGAGGGTTTGTTTTGTCTTTTTTTGTTTGTTTGGGTGTGTTTTTGCAACAATTACGTGATGGAGTTGCAAGAACCGTAGTAGGCATGCAAGTCATGCAAAGATCCTTGTCGTCCTTTTCTAGAAGAATTGTTAGTGGGGGTGACATTGACTTACAAAATTAGTCACATGACATTGTAACATAATAATAAAAGTAATACTCTTTGTCCCAATTGAAGATTACAAAGTTGCATGATGTGGAAATTTAATATTGGGGGTTTCCTTTTCTTGTTTTCTTATGTGCTTTCATTAATCTTTTTCTATCATCTTCATATATGATATATATGATTGTGAGTGATGGGGTTTTTTCATTCTCTGATGTGGAAGTGGAAGCCTCCTTGCACTTTCCAGGAAATTTGTTGTTAGTGTTAGGCCTTTTCCTAATGTGTCTTTATTCATCCTACTTTTTTGCTAAGAGCTTCAAAATTAAATTGAGATATGCTTTTGTTCTAAATCAAGACAAGCAATTGATCTCCTTCCATTCATTTCAAATCATGGATGCGTTGAAAACAAAAAAACATTACTTTGCTAGTTGTAAGTGAACTCTCACCTCAAGACGTATATGGTTTTTTTAGGTAAATCAATCATATCCGTCACACTCTATTTCAACATAATTAAAAAGGATCTCAAGCCTCTATATTTAGAGTTCATGCATTTACTCACAATTCTAACATATAAACCATTAAAATCAATAAAATATGAGCGTTAATATTTTATTTTTTTTAAATATCAGTCCAATAATGTGAGAGCTATCTCGTATAGTTGCCTATAATTTAAAAGTGTGTATGACTTGTGGCTGAAGTAGGAAATCCCATCTCATCCGTCATCACTGATGAGCTCATTTTGTAATTGTTTGGAGAGAGGTCACTTTCTTGCACCTCTCACTTTAAGTTTCGTGTCCCCTTATCCTATATCAAGCACAAGAAAAAGTAAAAAGGCTATAGCTACCCCCTCATCAATTGGTGTTCATTACTTTTACTGACAATATAAATGAAAAGTAATTACGACAAAAGTTACTTTTGGTTTCTGTAGTTTGGTATTTTAACCACTTTTGATTCTGTAGTTTTAATTCCATCAATTTTGCTCTTGTAGTTTCGTATTTTAGCAATTCAAGGACATGTTAGTATTCTTGTCAATTTCTTTAACGATGCAAGAGGCAATTTCGTCAACTCAAATCCCTTTAGTGTAACAACTTGTCTAAAATTCTCCTCATTTCATATTAGGGCTCGAAATTCAACCACTAATCCCAATTTTTGAAGAAACCTAAACCCAAATGACCAATTTCAAGTCCTAATATGAAATTACGGGAGTTTCAAACGAACTTTTATGCTCAAGGATTTTGAGTTGACGAAACTGCCCCTTGCCCCATCAAAGAAATTGACGGGAATACTAACTTGTCCTTGAATAGCTACAAATACAAAACTACATGGTCAAAATTGACGGAATTAAAACTACAGGGTCAAAAGTAGTTAAAGTGTCAAACTACAGGGACCAAAAGTAATTGAAACTATAAATCATATAATTTGATGTGTAGTAATTTATTTGTACTAGCTATTATTGTTTGTGAGTTCTTAAACATCTTGCATATGACAAAATTTGCAATCTTAATTAGAATGCCTATCAAGAGTTTCTTCGATCATGCGTGATCGTTAGTGGAGGCACACTAGATTGTCTTAATTTTAATGTTAGATCGCTTTGTTATTGTAATGGCCCTTTGCGGCTAGTTTGTATTGATCCTTTATGAGTATTGATTTTTTTAGCTGTATTATGAATGCAATTTCAGACTTTTTCAACCAAAAAAAAAATTGCATATAGGAAACGTTTACACTAATATATAAAGTATAATATAAAATAATCCAATGCGTACGGTAAACCTTAAACATAAGGACTAATAACCTTCAAAGCAAACCAATCATTATATTAATAACCTTCAAAATAATTCCAACTTAGGTAAACCTAACAATTGGGTGTTTCTTAAGTAAGCACTTCCAAGTGCTTTTTTAAAAAGCGTTTCAATTTTTTTATTAAATAATAATAATAAATTTCTTGTGCTTAATAAAAGCGCATATAAACAAAATGATTTTATTACTACTTTTTACAGAAACACTCCCAAACCGGCCATAGTGGTAACGTACACATTTTCTTTTAATTAATTGTTGATTGGCCAAAAAGAAAAAGGTCAGTGGTCCAAACTTTGGTTAATAATTAGTATTTTGTGAGCTCTCAAGTCCTCCGCGGGGAGGAGTAGTGATCACAAGTCAGTGAGTGGTCCAAATTGGCACGCAAACAATCAAAATATATTGCAACCTCTTTGTTTAAAGAGAGAAGTCAGAAGAATAAAGGAGGTACATTTCATGTTTCATTCAATCAGTGCAACATTACCCTCAGCTCCCCAATCCCCAATGAAATCATCCCATTTTTGTGGGTCGCAACCGAAGCACATGTCACACTTCCTGGCTAGCTATATAAGACTTTGGTCGTACTCATTACCTCACCATTATATTATTGAATAGTTAACGACTTTAACACTTCTAATTTAACTATAACGAAGATTTACTGAGAAAGTACCATTGTATGATAGGAAGAGTAGCGACTTTAAGATTCCCAATTTAAACGTAAAGAAGATTTATTGTGAAAGCCAAAAGATGTAAAGGAGCAAAACATATTTGATTGGCATAACCCTCCGAATTCCTATTGTGAGGATAAAATAAGGGATTTTAACTGCAATACCAGATTTTCATTTGATACTTGAACTCATTTTTTAGTCATTACGGACTTTCAATTCTCTTACATTTTTCAATTTAGTCATTATTAAAGAATAATTGCGTCAAAATTAACGATTTAACTCCTCAAATAGACGGAAAAAATTAACGAAAATTAACAAAATGACTAAATTGAAACCCATGCGAGAATTGGAAAACTAAGTATAAAATATTGAATTTGAAGGTGGCATGGAAAGTGAACTCAGAAGTTGAAATTGAAATCAACATATTTTTTGTGATGAAGGGATTTGTAGGGCCCCCGCAATTTTCACTGCAGACTGATCTTAAAGCCACTGTCGCTGTGGGTTGTTCTTGTGGCACAGAGAGCATACTTTTCAAACCCTGCACGTGGATACTTGTTGTAGGCTCCTAGTTCTGATACGTGGGGCATGGCATGGAGAGTACTTGCAGGTTTGCTCACGTGCAACCCACGTGACACGACGAAAATAGTCTTTGCCCCTTTGCAACTACAGCTGGAGAGAGAAAAAAAAAGGAAGTTGCTAGGTTGATATGAAATGTGAATTATGAATTGGTAGGTGTGTGTTGTGGAGGCAAAGGCTTTTCTTTTGCTGTGTGTTCTGTGCTTGGACCACGCAAAATAATGTCACAAATATGGATATGGGGTAAGTCGGTAAATCTCCTTTTTTTTCTTCTTCCAACTACTTATGGAATTCAGCTACCTGTTCTTAGTATGTAGATTGTAGAGCCAACCCAAAACCCTAGACATATAATGTAAGGTGTTATAAAGAAGTGCTCGTGTGATTTTACGAGGAAAATTTTTGTGTTATGTTGCCAGATTCTCAATTTGAATCACTCACAAAAAGACTGTGATAATTGAATTACATGTTTAAAAGTTATTACATATATAGAATCTTATTCGACCACGAATGTTTAACTCATGATCCAAAAAGTTCTAATTAACTTGAACATAATGGTGGATGATTAAACTCAAATTCCTGTTCAAACTTCGAAAATCTACCTTAATTATGAGTTATGATATCCAAAAAAAATCTATGTTCAGTCCTACACACCTGTTGAAAGGGGCAAAATCATGATAGATGCAGGAGCAAGCACATCAAATTATTGATAATATAGGCAAGAACATAAAGTGTCACATAGGGCAGAACAGAGGTACGGTCATAATCTTTCTTCTTCTTCTTCTTCTTTTTTTTTCGGTAATATTTGCCAATTCTTAAGAGGACAAAATTATGAGTGTCTCCGAGCTTATGAGTATCCCATGACCATAATGTCTTTTCAAAATATTTCATGTGCTCAAAAAGTTTATTTTCTCATCATTTTTCTTGTTTCTTCATAAGAAAATTCTATTAGTGCAAATGTACTCATTAAACAAACACTTTTATGACAGTTGGGTGCACTAACGGATTTATTTTTTCAAAACAGGGTTTTAATTTGTGAGTTCGATATTAAATGTATCTTGATTGTGTGTGTAAAAAACTCTCATACTCTTATAATTTAGATTATCATTTGTATTAAAATAATAATAATAATAATAATAAATTATTTTGGATGATTAAGCCTAGTGGACCTCTAAGAGTGAGATTTTAACATTATAATAACAAATAAATAAAGGCTTTTGTGCAATTGGCAGTAAACCAGACATGAACTTTAGATTATTGGTGTATTTATTTGATGTGCGACTTACATCACATCATGACTTATATCGAATCAACACCTGTAGAAAATTAATAATTATGATTTACTTACGGGTAAAAGTACTTGGTTACAGATGCTACATTGAAACAATGGCTACACCATTTATGCCCACCGCAAGATTTAGATGTCATATATATATATGGTGTTTGTGACCCCATACAGAACAGTGGCAGTTTTTATTTCTCTACGAGTTTCCAGTACTAGAAAGCATAATTTCTCAAGTCTTTGTCGTCCTTGGTAAAAATTCACACACACGAAGCAGAAGACTTGGCATATAGCAATCATTATTAATTTTATATAAAAGAGGACATTGGTACTAGTATTATTTAATAGGAGTCGTTCTGAGCTTTGGCGTTACTGGTCAGGGACTTTTAGAAGCAAACTTAATAAAGTAGGAAGGTCTGAAGATAATGACTTGCCAAATGTGTGTAAACTTTGAAGTCTTGCAAATGGTGGATGCTCTCCATCACATTTTGACCGTATTTTACAATGTCCTTTTCCTCGAACCCTGCAAAATAATGGTGGTCAATCGGAGAACTCCAATGCCTAAGTCAATAAATGGTCTCAAGGATATGCAGATTATACTGAAATAATGAAGTTTTCTCTCCATGGAGATAGTGAGGAGCAGATGCCGGGAGAGAGAGGGGACGACAAGAAGCCGAGTCAGAGAGATGAGAGAGAGGTGGCGTGTGAGCCTTGTGTTTTTGCCAGGGTTTTCGGAATTACCTCATGTGTGAGTTATGATTGTCTTTACGTAGAGTCTCCTTCTTTGGTAGGTTTTGTGGAGAATAATTCCCTTTTAATAGGAATTATTCTTTTATATATAAAAAAATGATATGATAAATTAAAGAGAATTGGTGAAAATCGAATTCTTGATTCAAGGAGATATTACTATCTTAAATTTAATTAGCACAATTATTTGACTCAAGGAATATTCCATCTTCCACATGTCTCCTACTAAATGGCTGCAGAAAATATGTGTTCCCACAAATGGGATTTTAGTTTTGTTTAAACAATCTGGAAATTTATTGAAAATGTTATCTCGGCATTTTGGTATCTTGCATTAAGATTTTTACACGAGTCTTGAAATATGCTATTTTTTTTAATGTAGGATCTTGAGTCCTAACGTTCCACTCTTCTTATGTACCAAACATTTCTCGTTGGCCAAGTCTATTGACACTGGTCCCGCTGCTTAAGAACTAGATATTCTAATTGAGATGGAGCTATGTAGGAATCTTTTAAGATTAGGACGTGGATAGAAGTATATTTGATCTCTCATTTGTTTAGATCGATAGTCCTGATCCATATTGGTTGCAAAAGGAAAATGGAGGCCCAATCATATTGTTCTTGTTCATTAGCTCCATGTTTCAACTAGATAAGTTCTTGATATACCTTTGGAACTCGTAATCAATCTTCAAACCTTTACATTTTCTCCTTCATATTCCTCCTTTTCTTACAGTCCTTAATGAATAAAGAGTATGAAACTAATAAAAGCAACAAAATAATCAAATGTCTACAATGGGAGTGAACTTTATCAAGGACAAATGCGTTTAAGAAACAAATACCAGTATAAATGGGAGACAAGAGGCCTGTCCCGACACATAAAGAAAATATGTAAACCAACTAATTAGAATGTATTAATAATATTCATCAACAAACAAAAGAAATATACAGTTCGACAAGCAATTAGCCTCTTAATTGAAAAAAATAACGAGCATGACAGTAACACCACATAGCATATAGATAACGTCATGAATCTACTCGATTTATAACACAAACACCATATCCACATGCCGCACGGTGTTACATGCCATGAATCTGGAAAAATTTCTCGCCCTAATTTGTCTAATTGGCTAACTGACCTCACACTAAAACAAAGCAATCAAAGAATTATCTACCTTTTCCAAAAAATATATATATATATATATTGTTAGACCACACTGGCTCCATGAAAGGAGTTCCACAAATCACACTCTTGATCTTCTTCAGCCTTGGTTTTGCCCCTTTCAGGCAAGAACCCGTATGCCGGGCTCGGAGCTTGCCGGAGATCAAGCGTCAAATGCGCACCACTGCCTTCATGGAACCTGTCCCAACCATGTTGATAATTATGATCAGAAAACATCTGGTGCTGCTGTGGTTCGACTGAATTGGACCATGATTGGCCATGATCACAAAACAAATCTTCGGTTGCATGGTTGTTATGTGACGATGAATCCCAGTTTCTGTCTTCCGATGAATTAATGAGCTGGCGAGCCAAGACGGCTGCGCGGTTTTCGGCAATGAGCTCACGAAGTGCAGCACTGGATCTTGAGGAGAGATCAGAGGGAGATACCCAGGAATCAAAACCAGTGTTCCTGGATGACAGAAGAGAGAGAGCACGTCCTGTCGGAGTTGATAAGTATCCAAACCTCCCCTTTTCTGTTCACAAAATGAGAAACTCTCCATGATTAGCAATAGGGTTTTCCTTTCATTAATATCAGAGGTTAGCAACAGAGTTTTCCTTTCTATAATCTCTTTTCTTTTGGCGAAACTATACTCGCAATGGCAAGCTTCGATTCGGAAAGACTCAAAGAATCTCTAAAGAATTTCAAAAAGAAAATTCTTAAGAAAGCTAAAAACAAAACAAGAAAACTTAAAAACCCGATAAGGAGATAAAATGTACACACCTTGAGAAGAAATTCTGGATAGGGAATCATGAGAGCTCTTTCGTCTTCGCTCATTATGGCCTGCTAATCTCCTCCTACAACTCCTCTTAGACTCGTCAAACTCTGACACTACATGAAACCTATACCCATTTACCGATTTACCCACCCATTAGAATTTAGAACAACCAACATCATCATCATCTTAATAATACCAACTATTGCCAAAAATATTAAATAAAGTGTGATGAATCTTTTTTTTTGTTTGAACATTTGCTGACATAAATGAATGCTTCAGACTAATTCTGATGTATGGGAATGTATACGAAAACGTTGCTAAAAAGTTAGCTTAAGCCCTTTTAAAAGAAGCACCATCCTATGATCTTCATCAAAGTTACTAAAAGTTGTCATGATCTTACAATTAAAGCAGAAATAAAATTCTTCTCGAGGCTCAAAAAGTATACCCTTTCTATTGAGAGATCTCTCAAATAATTTTATTTGAGGAACACCCTTTAGGACTCCCTACAAATATTTTTTCAATGATCAAAACCATCTATTTTTTAAGTCTATATTCATAGATCATCTTTGCAAAAAATTAGACAAATCGGAAACCGTTTCAATATCCAATTGTGTTCTACAAAATCAATGAATACTGTGCTTCAAGAAAGTACTAAAATTTCAATAATTCAATTTAGTGGTCAAATGATATCAGATTCAAATGAGTTTTTGCAGAGATGATATTTGAATGAGTATCTACAAAATAGATTATTTGGATTAGTGAAATATAAAACAGAGTGGGCTCTATAAGGGTGTCCCCCAAATAAGTTAATTTGAGGGATCCCTCAATAGAAGCTCTTTGTATATATATCTATCCGCCGTATCTTTTTCTAATCGTTTTAATGTAGGGAATTTAGCAATAAGCCCCAAATAATTACTGTCCAGTTCAATAAAGGATCACATTTTTAGAACAAAAGGAAACCGATCGAAACTAAGGTCAAAATTAGAATCCGATTCGCCTTTTGGCCACTTTTGTAGTAAAAAAGAATAAATTAGAAGGACAGGATTTTTGAATTGCATTAGTGATTGAAAAATGCAGTCATAAATAAGTGGTTTTACTACTTTAGGCAAAGAAAACATTTATATATGTGGTATCAAGAATAAAGTTGTTTCTTTTCCGGTCTAATAGTCTAGCCTCCCATTCATACTCGTTCAAAGAAATGATGGTAATTTGCACTTGGTTAATGTTCTAGCAAGTGATGATAAACCAAAAACAATTGTTCCCTAATGATGGCAATTTCCACTAGGTGCCAGTTTTTTTTCTGGGAAAAAAAAAGGTTAAAATATTTAAAATATTAATAAAAATGGAACGGAATTGTAGTTCAGATTATCAACTCTATCCATAAGAATAACAATAATAATAAGAAGAAGAAGAAGAAGAATTCAGCACAAAAATAAAGAAGAAATGAAAGGAAGTGACCTGCTGCACTGCTGACAGAAGCGCTGCTCTTGGCCCAACACCGTGACCTTGGAAGCCTTGGAGTGCATCTCGCACACCTTGTGCCTCCGGTGATACTCCTTCGCGTTCATCAGCGGCACGTGGCACCCCTCCACCTGACACCGTGGCACCACCTTCAACGCTAGCGTCGCCCCGCTCCCATACAGTTGCTGCGCCGCTCCTCCTCTGCCTCTCTTGCTCATCACGCCCACCGGGAGCCCCGCCACGTGTCGATCATCCAGGGCATGAGCATGAGCATGAGCTCGAGCATGATCCTCGAAGTAGTGCCTCTTCCCCAGCTTCAAGCACATCAGGTGTGGGTCCGGATGGTAATGGGAGCGGGCCCCGCCGCCGTAGAAACTAGAGTGCTGCTGCTGCAAGGGATGGCCCATGATGAACGCGTGACCGCCGGGGCTGGCCTCGGAGCACGTGGCGGAGCTGGAAGCCCCCGCCGTTGCTGCCACAGTGACGCCCGCCGGAGAGTAGAATGAGTTGTTGTTAGTGGCAGCAGCAGAAGTAGAAGTAGCACCACCCCATATATCCCAATTGGTGAGGTAGGTGTTGTTATTACCATTTTGCCCTCTGCTGCTGCTGCTTATGTGACTATTATTATTATGATCATGCCCTAACATGTTCATGTTCATGTTCCCACCTATTTCCATATCTCTCCTCCACTGATCTGAGAGAGAGAGAGAGAGAGAGAGAGGGTTTTTTGGATAGTTTTGGTGGTAATATGGGTACAAATTATAGGCAGAGATAAAGGACTATCTGCTAGAGTATTTATATGTGTGTGTGTATATAAAAGGGGTAAGAGATTTTCACAGAAATGGGGGAGCAACAGGCTGTAGGAGTTGCCTGCTGGTTGGGTATCACATATATAAGAGGAAAGGGGTTTCGGAAGAGAGAGAGCGAGAGCGAGGGAGAGAGCAGTGAAGGGTTCTCTCTGGGTTTCTTTTGTTCTACACCAATGGGGTTAAAGTGATTAAGCAAAAGGCTGCAAATTTCAAGTTCGCTGAGAGAGAGAGAGAGAGAGAGAGAGAGAGAGAGAGAGAGCCCAGTGACACGTGAGAGGGAATGGACGGACATGGGAGTGCACGTGGGAACAGTGGTAGGTGGAGCCAGCCAAGCTCCTCTGGAAAATGATTTGATTGAAGAGAGTCACTGCTAACATCAGTATTCAGTATGAGAGAGAGAGAGAGAGAGAGAGAGAGAGAGAGAGAGAGAGAGAGAAAGGTAAACTTGTGATTAGACCAGAGAGGGTACTGAAACAGAAAGAGAGACGGACACGTGGCTTCCTACTAATTGATCCAATAACAATATCGTTTTCAAGTTAAACATTTACCCAGTCCCGTAGCATGCAATTTTCTTACAAAATGTCTCAAAATAGTACTTCTAATAAGCTTAATTACACCAATATTCTTTGAAATTTCAGTCAAGTCTTACTTTGTCACCCAAACTCAAAATGGCCCATTTTTATCCTTTTATCGCGATTTAGTGACCCATTTTACTCATACTGTTAACTCCATCTAAAAGTTTGTTAACTTTGATAACGTGACAGAGGTATTTTTGTAATTTCATACACAGATCATTATCCAGCAATTAGGTGAGTGACGTGGCAAGTGGACCCACCTCCACATAAATAAAAATATAATTAAATATTATAATAATTGAAAAGAACTAAAATTAAAATAAATCAGAAAAAATATATTCAAATAATTAAAAGGGAGTTTCACTAAAACACCCAAAATGGGGGCTGAAATTATAAAAACACCCAACACCCAAAACACTTTACCCAAAACCCATCATTACACACACTCAAAACCCATTTATAAACACACCCAAAAATAAACAATTGTTGATTTTAGGGTTGATTTTGGGTGTGTTTCTATGTTTAAATAGTGCTTGGGTTTTTTTTTATAAATACATGTCTAGGATTGGGTTTATTTATAAATTTGTATAATTAAAAACCTTACCCAGTCCATATACTGACCAACACTCATGCCTTATTGCATCACGAGTTCATAGCTTCGCCGACCCCAGAGAGAGAGAGATTGACATCACAAACAAAAAAACATATAAGAAAAAGAGAGAGAAAGAAGTATCATTCTCATTTCTCAATTTCTAATCGACCTCACATTTTCATACCTGTATGGGTTTTCGGCTTTTATTAGCCTCTTTTTCTCACTCGCTACAAATTTAATCAAAGCCACAGACCTTTGGATCTTATCAGAACTATCACTTTTGTTGTCATTGTTGCTCCAGACTTCAAGTCTGCCACAAATAATTACCCTCAACATGATTCCCATATCTCTCCCCCCTGTAACTTCACTGTAAACAATCTGTCTCCAATCACAGACTACACCAAAGTAAGTTTTGATGGAGCTTGGCTTGTTGTCTTGTGCTCGGCGAGTCTTGGAGTGATAAGAAAGATTGTTGATGGCCATTTTGGAGGATGGCTTGTAGAAAAGAAAATTGTATCCTCTGCTCTATGCGCTGAAGTAGAGGCAGCCCTACTTGGTATTTCAATGGCACGAGACTTGGGAGATTGTAAAGTCATTTTCAAATATGACTCCAAAATCTTGGTCAATAGTATTAACGGTAATATGGGCAGCGACGCTTGGACCATCCTTCCACTTATCAGGGAGATTAGGAGAAGATCATCCTTCTTTGATTCTGCAGAGTGGCGATGGATTCCACATAACTAAAATCAAGCAGTTCACATGGCTGCAAAGATTGGATTGCAGATGGTGGGTGTAATACACTGGACTGGTTGTCCACCACCTTCTATTGTTCAAGTTCTAACTTCTGATGGCCTTCCTGGGCCACCAATGTAATTTCCTGTTTTCCTTCTTTTTAAGTCCAGGTCTGGGAACTTCTTTTTGCACTAAGCTGGTTTTGGCTTAGGTGTGTTTCCTTCTCCTGTTGTATCCTTGTTTGTGCCTTGCCTTTTGGCTTAATGAAGTATCTTTTCGATCCAAAAAAAATAAAAATAAAAATCAAAGCCATATACAAATACCCAAAGAGTTTCAGGTGCTTAGTCTTCGGGCACAGGCAATATCAAAGCTCACAACAATACAGAGCCATCTTTGGGATCTCGGGGGAATTCAAGAGAAGCAAACCCAGATTTACACGAGAGAGACAAAACCCAAATTTGATTTATGTAGGGGGTTTTTCTTTCCAGCAACAACAAATAGGTTTGGGCTCTTGTAAATAGCAAATGGATGAAGTTGCCCATGTGTCTGAGTTCAAGAACCAGGTCCCAAGAGTGCTTTGAAAAGTTCGTGAAGCCTTATAAAGCACTTTGGTTCCTTTCACCAACAAGACAGACAACTGTTATAGATCAATATTATGGCTTGGCCTGAGGAGCTTGTGGCATGGGAGCTAAGCCTCAATAAGCTTAGCAATAGAGAGAGAGAGAGAGAGAGAGAGAGAGAGAGAGAGAGAGAGAGAGAGAGAGAGAGAGAGAGAGAGAGAGAGAAAAGAGAGAGAGAGAGAGAGAGAGAGAGAGAAAAAGAGAGAGAGAGAGAGAGAGAGAGAGAGAGAGAGAGAGAGAGAGAGAGAGAGAGAGCTTGAATTTCTTATGGGAAATAGAGATTCAGAGTGAGGGGAGAGGGAAATTTGGGAAGATTTGATGAGGGAAGAGAATGAGAGATGGGGATAAAAGGATGGGTGGCTTGAGTAGATTTTCTAGCAGCTTGACGATTGCTTGGTCGTGCTATGGATGGTTCATGGAAGAGAGAGGAAGAAGATGGAAGAACACTACTTGAAATTGAAGCTTCCAGCAGTGAGTAAGGATGTTTGCTAGCTCTGGATAAGTTAAGATGATGGGTAGGAGATGTCCTCTTTTATAGGCGCTAGAAGCCCATTCTGGTTCAGGAACCCTAACTAACTTTCCCCAAATTTTGCCAAGTCCTCTCCTCTACTTCTCTTCACTTCTTTTGATTCAATCAATTTTGGTGAATTTTTTTTAATCCAAGCATATTAGGACAGAGCATTTTGGGGTTCCAAGGTTTTCCAGCAGCTGACTTCTTCCACCTAGGTGAGGCTCCTCTTGCTTTTCCTCCTTATTTACTACCAAAGCATGCAAAGAAAAGAATAGGTAAGAGTGCTGGTCTAAAAGGTGTCTTACTTCCAACAGCCCGTGCACATAGGTTTCACTTGGTTTTAACAATGGCTTTGTTTTAATTTGGTTTTTATAGGGTGCTGTGATATTTTCTAAGGTGCTAGGCCATTTCTCTAGGGTGCTAGGTAATTTCTTTAAGGTGATGGGCTATTTTTCTCTCTTATGTTTACCCATATATTTGGGTTTAAGAAATGGGGCTGAGTTTGGTGCTCCCAAGCAGCCTAAAACTTCCACTTCTTAGACCATCAATGGACCTCATGAACACTCATAACCATCTATACCACAACCCACTTAGCAAGACCCAGACATTTGCGTGACTTGGGTCCACTTAAGCTTGTAGCGTGGCTAGGTACTAAAATAAAGGTTTTCTTCACTCGACGTTGCGTGTCTTGTGGCGTGTTTGTGCTCGGGCTCTACCTTATTGTAATGGGCTATGGTCTGGCCAAGCGAGGCTTGATGGGGAAATGAGCCGGGTTCATGGAACCAGTACATTTTACAGGCTCATATTGGCTTGGCATGGCATGCAGACCATAACTTGTGTAAGCGCATACGACAAATTACTGCGTACCCCAGTCGGGCTCATTTCTCGATTGAGTGTTGCATTGGGCTATAAATATATTTGGGCCCAATCTTGGATTTTTTAGGCCTTAACAGTTTCTTTGTTAGAGGGTTCTCAAATTTTGAATGATTTTCCTTTCTATGTTTCTGTATTTTTTTTTAGTTTATATATTTTCCTTCTTGATCTGAGTTGTGTTTTAGGTTTGAGAGAGAGAGAGAGAGAGAGAGAGAGAGAGAGAGAGAGAGAGAAGGACTAAGATAGACAGACAGACAGTTACAGTTGGGAATATGAAATTACATACAATGGTTTCGATTTGAGAAAATTATAGATTTGAACAATTTAAGGCCAGTTAACAAAAATGCAAATGAGAGAAAGAAGAACTCGAATGAGCAGAAGGTTGAAGAGTAACCAGAAGAATTTTGGGTGGGCTATCTTGATAAATTTTAAGGGAGAGAGAGAGAGAGAGAGAGAGAGAGAGAGAGAGGTTGCGCAGTGATGAATTTTGGTAGTTGATTGGTTATCTGATGCTGCGTGGGTTGGGGGTGGGTATTGTGGATATTTGTTAAGGACAGGATGGGCGTGGGAGGATTGGGGCTACTGGGGGAGTGATTGGAGGCTGGGTAGGGTTTTTAATTATTTGAATATTTTTTAAAATGATTTATTTTAATTTTTAGTTATTTTTAATTATTATAATATTTAATTATATTTTTTATCTACGTGGAGGTGGTCCACTTGCCACGTCACTCACCCAATTAGTAGATAATAATTCATGTGTATGAAATTACAAAAATACCTCTACCATGTCATCAAAATTTCAGGAAGCGTTAGTGTAATTAAGCCTTTCTAATAAAATCACTCACTTATATATATAATATTTTACTTTGTCAAATTTCCCATAAGATACTCTACATTCTTCAAAACAAACAAAAATGTTTGGCATAATGAGGTTTTACTCATTGCTTGCTTTAGTATAAGAAGACTTTGTATCTACACCTTCATTCGAAGTCTTAGATTCGATTCCTCTCTTTCCAAATATCATTTGTATTAAAGAAAAAAGCAAAATGAAAAAGTTCGTATCTTGCCTTCGGTTTTACCATTTACTTAAAGGAATGCCCAAACACATGAAATTTTACGATGGGGGCTCACTTGTGTAAAGACAAAAATGTGGTTGATGGGGGCTCATTTTTTTTCTTTCTTTTTTTCTTTGTTTTTGTTTTTGTTTTGTTTTGGTAGCTACTAGATTAGGGAGGGGATCATGAAAGGTTGGTTATAGACCATAGAGGACATCAATATGGTATCCGGTACCATCATGGTGGGACATGTACCTGATTCTGTAGGGAAAGTAAAATCTTTTATAGGGTCCCCATGACATATATGGCATGAGTGCCTTACCTTTCACAATTAACAGATTAATAATGTAAATAACTTATTTAATTGAAAAGAGAATAATATTGACAAATTTTCAAATTAGCTTCAAATCATATCTACCTAGCCTTCATGCCAACATTGACAAAATTTGACATAAAAAACAAATAATAAATAAATAATTTGCAAATATACGTGGCAACTTTGGTGTTAGTCATTCCTTAAGTCGTTTCATCTCTCACTTAAACTTAACAAACCCAGAATTTACAAATTCTTGCATTGACCATACCTTTTCTGTTGGTCATGCGACCCTACTAATTTTGTACAAAAATTTTACAATAAAATGCGTGCAATGAAATACTTGTCGGTTCTTGTACGAACTTGCCTAAATATTTTAAGCTTCATATTATTCATCCGACCACAAAAAGTTGGAGAGAAATAGGTCAACTCACAAACCCTTTTTTGGGTTTTTTTTTACCTTCTTATTTTCTCAATATCAATTAGTTAAAAAAGGTATAAAAAAACCCCTAAACCCACATTATGTCCATTCTCAATGAAAAAGACTTTCATGAAACAGGAATAGCACATGATAACATTTTCACGTGTCATAGTATTACTAGCTGGAAATAGCAAAATAGTGTTATCCCTGTTCCAACTGAGTGTTTCTCCTTCTCAACACCCGTTCTTAGAATTTTTTTTCAGATTCAATCAACTAGACTTTTGGATTTGTGTTCTTTATATATATATATAAAAATCCTATATATAAAACTGAACTTCACTTGGGTTCCACCTTCAAATGCGATCATTTTGGTTGGGATGGTGGATGGCAATGTTATTATTCCACAATTAATATAGGATGAAAAGTTGGTTTTGAGATTTTACATACCCCACTCATATATTTTCTCCCTTGTGAGGACTTCTCTCCAACCACGTACTCAAAAAATGATATGAATATCTACCACTCTTTTGCTCACAAACAAACATATTCCAGCATCGTAGACTGTCGACATAATGACCCATATCATAATAGTGTGAGTGAAATCATTGAATATAATTGTGACCAGTGACGGATCTGTATGGGGACAAGGTCGAAAAAATTTCAACAGTTTGATTACTTACAAGTAAATTGTGTTCTTGGATCTTGAAACTGTGCTTTTGTTTCTTTGCCATTAGAATTAAATTGAGATATTTGGTAATATATCTATTCTTAGCATTAATAATATAGATAAATCCTATACCATTTAATTTCTATAAACAAACCAAAAAAAAACTCAAAAATGACAGGCGGCTCTATTGAATTTTATTTTGATTATTAAGTTACTTTGATGCCCTATTGAGTGTTTTGTGACTTTTTTATGAGATTTTGGGGTCGAGTTTATTTCATATATGATTTTTTAAAATAATTTAGACTCATATATTTGGTATAATAATGAATGTCCCAATTAAGTTTGGACAGGACATAAATTTGGTTGTGAATACCCAATAGTGGGAACTGGGATCCGTCATCATCATCCACAAAAAAAAGATCTATGATTTCCAAATATTACTCCTCACATTGGCTGATTGTGACCACTCCTTATTGGCATTATTTTTGAATGGTCAGAAAAATAATTCATACTTGGAAGACTGTTTTTGCTGACAAATGGGGGTTTTGAAACCTAAAGTAAAGTCATTAACACGTACCGAGCTATCTAGAAACTCTTCTGTTTCTGCATTTACCAGAAGTTATACGGCAAATCTTCTTATCAAGTGTTATAATATAAGTAAACGAAACAATTGAGGATACTGCGTAAGAATCCCAAGTGTGAGTGGCAATGCATGCCAATGTGAAAACAGTATAGTTTCAAAGTAGTTTTTGTATTTGGAACAATTATTCGGATCCAAAACAAGCCAAATTGTCCAGACATTACTACAGGAAATCGTGGAAAATGCAGTAATAATGACAGATCGAAGTACTTTTTTGAACAGCCATCCCCAAACGGTACCAGACAGCTGCAAAACGACCGTGAAAAAAAGGTCTTGGAATTACTGTCACTTTTGCTTCAAGTAAAATAGTAAAAACTAACCATGATAATTGAGTAAAAGCAAAAGTACTCTGCTGTCTGCTCCTATTCAGGGAACTATGGACGACTTTTTTAATCAGCAGTCGGTGCACCCACAAACCAAAACAAAAAACCACAGATTAGTTACTGCCCGGCAGTCACTTGTCAACCCTTTTTCTTTTCTTTTCTTTTTTATTTCATTTTCATTTTGAGAAAACATCATTTTGATGTAGCATGTACTTTATCACTCCAGTTAATGATATCATGCTTTGTGAATATTAACTGTAAATTTGGATACAACTTCCACATTCCTTCTTTCATACCTCACTCTCTCTATCTCTTGAATGATTAATTAGCTCGTCCGAAAGATAGAGAGAGAGAGGGTATATGGAACATGTGTGACACTTACAGTCATACTGATACGTGATGTTATTAATACGTTTATATTATAATATAGATTCATAGTACAATTACATATGTAAATTTGGGTAAACTAGATTATGATTTAATCATAATATAGCACAACGTAATATGTTACATTGAATAATATGATCACGATGTATGCGCTTCTCCTGGCTTGCCATCAATGCCTATGGTTAAAAAGACTGAGGAGGAAATGAGCATCCAAAGAACTGGGACCCATGCCACTGATTAAAACTCTGACACCTGCGATTGTGCCACGTGTATGGTCGTAAAGTTCACTTGTGCATCGTGTGGTCTCTTTAAACGTACATGCGCAGAAGACTCAGAGCTCAAAAACTTTATGGGGTTTTGTAGTTTGCGGGAAATTATTTAGAATTTTCCCCAAACAAATAAGATCAAGAAAGAAGAGAGAGAGTGAGGAGGAGGAAATTCTAGCTGCGTACTTTAGCTTTGTTGGGTACATGGCAAAGTGGGTACTCGACACGCGTCCAAAGAGACCATGGTTTCCCAAAAAAAATGTAAGTACTCTAATAACAGAGATGATCGTGCAAGTTAACTGAGTGTACGATACATGGGGAGCATGAGGCTATGTTGTTTCTTTTAATGAAACACCAACAAGGATTACAAAAGAGATGAAGAAAGCATTAGTGGGGGACCATTTATTTATTTTATTTTATTTATTTTATTTTATTTTCTGGGTTCATCTTTTAAGGGTGATGATGATGATATAGGATAAGGAGTGGGGGGGACCATCAAACCATGTTTTTAATTTCACTTGGAGATCTCATCAGCTTCGGGATAATCATTGTACGAGAATTCGGATATTATATTTAAAGCATCACAATTATGGTAATCATGCTTACACTCGTGAACTTTACGCATGGCTTGTTTCACGCATGTATGATCGAGTCCTTATTCTTTGTAGAGG